CTGTGTGTCTCTTAGACCCCAGTAAGAAAGTACAACTTACTTTGTTGCATTTTGTCCAATAAACACAAATTACAGTGCTTGTTTTAACATTACAGTGCTATCTCTGTTAACATAGATGTAACATTTTCACCCCCGACAGTTACCAGTTAATTATAACCCAAGCAACACCCCATCCATCTGCATATAATTTCCTTTATTGAAAGTTTCTCTACCAGATATTTAACAAATGCCTACAGACCTTTCAAATTACAAGTTACATGAATTCTTTCTGTGAATGCTTATGTTATTAAGATATTATCTACTTGTGTTCTAAAGAACTTTCTCACTTAAAAAATATTGTGCTTTTATGGTCTTAGATTTTATTTCAACTTTTAGTTTCCCTAGGAGTGAGCATTAAATAAACTCTGGGTTTATGGAAGATCTAGCACTATCACTTATTAATCACTTTCACTGAACACAAATGAGAAATAGTATGCCCCAAACTTCTTCTGTTTCTCCCGAGTTTATTGCATTCACAGATTTTGTAAAAGAAATAAAATAAAATATTGGCTACACAGAGTCTACCAGGAATGAGTTCCTTAGGTGCTATAATTAATGTTTTGGTTAACATCTGCCTAAATGGATAGAAAAGGAAGGAGAGAGAAAATAAATTAGATAAAGGGGATCTTTGCTATCTATCTTAGCTATGGTCTATCTCAATCACTGCAGGATTTCTCCGTCTATGCAGATCCACATCAACTAAGAACCTTTTCTTTGTTTTCATAATATCATGGGTAACTTTTCCACATTTCCATCTATTAAAAGTCTAGCACCTATTTTGCCTAAGAGATTTTTTCAGATACTAAAAAACTCCTAAGGAAGTATAAGGTGTAGTACCTGACTTCCAAGCATTCACATATGGCCAGAGTCTGAATGTTTTCAGGATAAATTACTGATAAAGTGTCTAAATTCAGAAGAAGGTACAACTGTGATTCTGTCCTAACAAAAACCATCCTAGAGCATGATTTTTTCTTATAAGTCAATATAAACAGAAGGAACATTTAAAAGCTGACTTTGGCTCCAGTTACTTAAGAATACTTACTTTTGAAATCATTCCAGAATATTGGACAATTGGACTTACTTTAATATAGACTTCAGAGATGAACCATTACATATAAGAAAGGCTAGTACAACTCAAAATGTCTGACTTATTCAAGCACCGCCCTTATTCTCTGAATATGTTGAGACCAGGAAGTAAGCCGGGGGAAGGAACAACCCCAAGACAAAAAATCAGCAATTAAAACCTGGTGCCACAAAGCTGAAATTTCTGTGCATTTCTCACAGGGGGGCCCCAGTGAGCAGGCCTTATGGGTTGAGAGCACTGCTTTACTTGGAGTTGACAAGCTTGGGCATATGGTTTTTCAGCACACTGTAAAGTAGAAGCAGCAAATTAAAAGGGGAGAAGATGCTAACATAAGCGGCCTCAAAACACCAAAATGTGACGGACTCTAAGTCAAGACAAAGAATAACTACAAAAATTGGCAAAGAACGCAGCTGAACAGTACAGTAACTACCTAACTGGAAGATTTACACAGGAATTAAAATCACAATAAAGAAACATCCTGTTGAGCCCTGTGACCAAATCTGTCACCCTCTCATTCATGAAAGGTGTGAGAAAGTAATGAGATAAGTTTTGTAAAACTACAACACCAAAAGTAATTAATCAATGACTTCATTAATAGAGATTACCCAGAATTTTGTAGAAGAAAACTATGTCCTTAATCCTTTCAGGCACTCCAGTGGATGTAATTAAATAAAATAGGGGAAAGATTGAAAGTATATAATGTGATGCACATATTCCTTCTTCTCCCTTTTATTAGCTTGTTATACCTCAGCTAATTATCCTAAATTTTATTTTGCAACTTCCTTCAGAGAGAATCCTTTTAATCTTTGATATATGATTTGGAAATAAATACACTAATGGGCACGTTTGGTTTTTTAGAACCACATTCTATGTTCAATTTCAGGCCTCGATTTTGCCTGGTAGAGCTTTCTGCTTTCTTCACCGCATCCTCTTTTTCCTGATTGGAAAGTCTACTTTTCTTCACAATTATTATTCATCTCGGATAATTCATACTCAAAGATCAACCTAGATCTTATTTATTAGCATTCTTTAAACATTTGCTATTTGCCAGGTGATGGGAGTAGGGGGACAAGAAATATCTTTTAATTTCCCCAGGGGCATCTCTCATTTATATTTCACATTAATCCTCCTAGGTAAGTTCTACTGTGATCCTAATTTTACAGATGAGGAAACTGAAGCTCAGACAAGCTAAGTAACTTATCAGAGTCCTTTTAACCTGTGGTGAAGTTGGAGTCAGGACTCATGTAAGTCTTAGCTTTATCTTTTCACAATTACCATTGCTTCCTGGATATTTTCTCCTTAAATTTCATTCAGTCAGTGTGGAGAATCCATAGGGGCAAAAAAATATATATATATATGTATATGCACAAACTTTATCAATTTGATTTAAGTATTAAAGAGAATCAGCTATACCACCAATTGTATCTGAGTATATGTATAGTATCTCCTTTAGTGATTTAATATTAATAGACAACTCATTAGTTACCTCCTGTCATTATATACAAGCTTGCTTTTCAACTGATCTGATTCTAGAATAAAGGGAAATCCATATGTTTTACTAAGGTAGAGAGGTAAAGCACATTAATTTAACAAAGGATGCTAAAAGCATGAAGAAAACATAGCTAAAAAGACAGCTAGTAGGCTCTGAGAAAAGAGGGGTATTTGTGTTGGCCTGTAGAAGAAAGTGGGATTGGTGTGGGCCCCAAAGGACCACCAGTGTACAGCCATACCACCCTGAACGTGCCTGATCTCTTCCAAAAGGACCGTCATACCGAGCGAGGCCAAGATGCCGTGTGGAATAGGGGAGCAGGGCAATGCTCCCTGTGGTACATGTTCCTAAGGATCAGTACACATTTTTAGTGTACTGTTTGACACGTGGCATGTACATTACCCTGTACTTTAGATGGTCAGTAAAATTTTGCTACTGTAATAAACCTGAATTCACGATTTCTTGCATGGCAGATGGGTTTCATCACGGGGCCAAGAAGAAAGAACTTTGTCCCCTTTTTGGTGGACGTCAGAGTGGCGAAAAAGGAAAAGCTACAGCAAACAGTGGAAAGCGAGGCAGAGGACAGGTAGTAATGGAATCACTATCTGTCAGCCATACTGGGGAGTGCTTTCAGTTTTCTCACTGGAATGGGAATTTGAATCAATGTATCATAATCTGAAAAGGGCTGGAGAACCCTAGTGGCCATTGTGATAATACTGGAGAAACTCAACCACATGCCTTATTTTTTTTGGCATGAACAACGTTGTTTGCTAGAACTCAGAAATAGACAATGGCACAGAGGCTTCTTAAAAATAAATTTGAATATATCAGCATGTGCAGCTAAATAATTTGCTGACTTCAAAACAGCCAGGTGAAATTTTTTGCCTAAACCTATTATTGCCCATAATGAAAGAGTCTATATGCACTAATCACCACATACAGCTTAAAGGTTGATCACAGCTTCTAAAACTTCATGATGCAGGGATTTTTAGCTATACTCAACACATTTTCCCTTCAGAAACCTGATTGGTTGTTCTAGATGCCGTGAATCGTATATAATGGGCTCCTAGCTGGAAGAAATCTACAGGATCAAGCATCCCTGAGTTTCAGATAGAAACTTAGAAAACCTGCAAAGGTATGTGGACTTTATTCATAATTTGGTATATTTTTATTGTGCTTAGTTTTTTCTTTGATTCCATACTTAAAATATGTAAATATATTCCATATTTCCAATGCTTTATGCTATCAACAGTTGTCTTTTCAGTTGGACCATAATTGAATTAGGCTCTGATTTCTCTAATGAATTGTGTTACTGTTAATGCAATAAAGTATATGTTATTTTTTTAGAAAATTAGTTCAAGAATTGGGAAGCTCTCTTTGGATCCAGATTTCATGACAAAATATTTATTTTAATTGCTTATCAATTAAGATAAAATAATGCTTGACAGACTGTGATCCACTTCTTTAAAACATTTTATTAATTAAATTAAATGGAACTGTCAACAAAATGTGTTTTCTTATGAACTCAATCTTTTAGCAAAACAGATTTAGGAAGTAGAATGCTTCGGTGTACTTTTTGTAGCCAGCATTATCCATGTGACTTTTACTTCTTATGTAAAATTAAAAGTCTTTCTTCTGATAGCTTTCAAGTCAGTCAGTGATCAGTGGGACACAAGAATGTGTACATTTTAGGATGGCCTCTTTTGCTTCATGTCCTAAGGGCCTTAATTATAGAATAGTTTTGGGGCACTGTCAAACAAAATAAAAGTGTTATTAAATGAAGATGGAATCTTTTAGGTAGAAATCATTCACAGCACATCAAAGAATCACACAATACTAGCACTGCCCACTTTCTTTGGTTCAACTCTATCTTTTGCTATCGATGGGAATATCGAACAAAACTCCACTCCTTTAGTCTATTTTGCCAAATTACTTAATATCTTTTCTCAAATAAGTCTTTGTTTTTAATAATGGTAATGCCCAAGAGCACTGTACAAAATAGATTTCGGTGTCTTCCTGTCTTAAATGTGTAAAATATTGCACACTTTGATCATCTCTAAAACTTTTAGAGTCAGTTCTACCCTTTCAATCAGTAGCTGATGCTACTGGTGTATAGTAAAGACAATAATGCAATGGTGGATCATTCATGTCCCTATAACTTGTTTAGCTCTCAACCTAATGTCAAAGCATCTTTATCACTCTTCTGAGTCTACAAACAATTATATAGACTAAGAAACCACATATGAATGAATTCACCTCACAATTGTCCTACCTTTTATTAGTAACATGCTAATGTAGAGTATGTAAATTTTATGGAACATTAGTTATGTCCATGCTTGAGAAGACATAAAAAAGCAAATATTGTTTTGCATTTCAGAACCACCAGAAATGGGGACCTGGATTTTGTTTGCCTGCCTCTTGGGAGCAGCCTTTGCCATGCCTGTGAGTAAAATATCCTTTGCATAGAGCTGTCTAATTTCATACGAAAATCAAAATCTATCCTATGATTGGTAAACTTCAGGTTTTCAAACAATGCAAGTCCAGGAGTCCTCGAATATTTCTGTGTTGAACATACCCTTAAAAAGTTCCTTTTTAAAAAATGAATTCTTGACTGCCTCCAGCAAGATTCTGATTCAGTACATCTGGGGGCGGGGGTGTCCAGGATTCTGCATTTTAATGTTTTCCCAGGAGATCCTACTGAAAGAAGCAGCTTGTAAATACCGCTGCCTATCTCTGTATAGAGTAATCCTTTGAAGGAATCCTTGAAAGCCTTCCAGAGAAAGTACTTAATCACCCTTAGGCAAATCCTATAAAAATCCAATTTCTTACAAGTTTTTAAATCTCTCTGTGCCCTTCAAATACCACTTCTGTTACCCTGCAGTGGGTAAGATTTCTGTTAGGAATTTTCTTCTTGAACTATCTCTCCACTCTGAGAGGCCCCATCTCTTTGGGTGCATCTGCTCTGCAGGCAGTCTGGCTTTTGTGTGGTTACCCACCATCCTGCCTATGACCAGAACACGTTGACGTGCTTTCCATTCAAATGCACCAAAGACCAGAAATTCTGACCCCCTCTGTAGCTGGAGTTACATGCGGGCAGAGAGCTCAGGTCACATGCAGGTAATGCTTTTTGGTGGCATGCAGAGCATTTGTTACAGTCAGAAACCAACAAGTTTGCGTACCTTCCTCCTTTCTTCCTCTGTCACTCAAAAGAGCAAGATTCTGTGCTATGCCTTCCTGAAATCCTGCACTGTAGCAATTTCCTAAGCCCCTGAGGGATCCCTACATTACAAATTCAGCCCTTTTCCAGTGCACAGCTCAACACCTCCAATGTCAGAGGGAGTATGTCCTGTCAGTTTCACACTCAGATGACAGTGAATAAACTCTCTTACTAATAGGAGCATTTTTAAAGAGTAGAAGAGGGTCAACTCTTAATTAGCCTCATATCTGAGGGAGACCTTCCTGCACGCTGTCGTCTCATCTCTCCTGTACTCCAGGCCCATCCGGAATTCCACAAGGCATTCACTTGGCCCCCACTTTGGAAAGGACAGACAGTCCTGGTTTAGATAATTATTCAAGTTCCTTTTTGTTTTTGAATTTTTAAAATTCTGCCATAAATACATGGACAGAATAATAAAAAGGATTGGTCTAAACTTCATAAATCAACTCTTTCTTTGTCCAGAGGAAGAATTTAGAATATTTTCATTTTACCCCACCCATCTTGCTCTCAAATTCATCAATAGCTCCCACGTATTTGCTCCTTTTGTTAGTGCAGATGTGTTATTTTATTTGCCTGCTAATTATGAGGAGTCTCTTTGATACTTAAGGCATTTAACCAGCTGATCTTTAAAGGACCTTTTTGAGAAAATTCTTTTCATGTTGACTTTTTAAAAATTGTGCAGTAGAAACATACTTCTCTCCCCAATCTGGAGTGAGTTTCATCAACAAGTAAACTGGTCAATGGGGGAGGCAAGGATTCCTTGACAACTTGGCATGGACGGGCTTGTCCCAAGTGTCACTGGAAAAATGAATGTATGCTGGCTTCTAATTTCAGGCCTTCCACCATGATATTATTGCCCCTGGGAGAGTTATTCAGCTGCTTGGGACCCCTTTAAAATAAGCAGACCCTTCCTAAACAGCATGTCTATTTAAATTGAAAGTAGTCCTCAAATATAGTCTGTACTATTTAGATTTTTAAACATAGCTTTAGTTTCCTATAATGTGAACAATTGCATATTGACTTAATCTCTTCCTTTCTCTTCCTCTCTCTTCTTTCTCTCCCTCTCTTTTTCTCTGTCCCTCTCTATTTCTATTCTTCTTTACTCCTTCCTATAAAAGCTACCACCTCATCCTGGGCACCCTGGTTATATCAACTTCAGCTATGAGGTAATTTTTCTATTTACTAATTTTAATCGTGGTTTGAACTAACAATCCCCTGTGAAAGACTAGTGTGTTGATTCTTCATTCAAGATGTTGTTTCTCAAACAGTTCCACATTTTCAGTTCCACCACCAGATTCCCAGTTAAAGCCCTGACAGATGGCCTCAAGCCTACACTGTCTCAGCACCCTCCTACCTGGCTACTCTGAATCAGTCTCTTAAATATGTCTATCGATGTATGCATCATGAACTACCACTCAGGGAGGCTCCACGCTAGGCTAGAAAGTGAATTCTGAGCAGTCTTGTTTTATCTCAGTCCATAAAGTGTGAGGCGTAGGTAAGGTGCTTTTAAAGATCCTTTCCAGCTCAGAGACTTATGACTCTAAGATGTTCACACTCTATGTGTGTCTCTCACTGGCTTTACTGAAAGATCAGTGACTAAGTCTTACAGAAGAGTCTCTCCAGAGGGAAAGCATAAGAGTTTTGGAAATGGGGCTTGAGGTTCTCCTCAACCCTATATTAACCACAAAGCCTTGGCAAATCATCTTCTCTCTTTGGAAATACAGAGCTTCTGGAGAAGGGAAATAATGATCACAAGATTATTTGGAGAGGAAAATAGTTAATGAATATGAAAAGTGCTGTGGCACTTATCATTTGAGGAAGTTTGGTAATTTTCTAGTGTATTGTTTCAACGGTGCACTAATGTCAGAAGTACAGCCAAAGGTCCACCAAATATGTCCTGTTCAGAAAGGGCTGAAACTCTTACTTGTCTCACAAGTTCGGGTAACAATTTATGAGTCTGAAGAAAAAAATTGTTAGTAAGAACTGGAGGCAAGATTTTCTGTTCAATCTCCAAAGGTTGATACATGTGACCAGTAAATCTTTGTCTCCAGGATGAGGGACAGTGTTTATACCTGCTTTTCCCCCCAGTATGATATCAAGTAAAAATAGTTTGATTAATATTATATCATATAATTTTTGCTTGTTTGTTTTGCTTTTGCAGTGAAGAGCAGGGACTGTAAAATTAAACAGAATCACTTCTTTTGCAACCTCAGTCAAGTTATGGAGCCTCTCTAACTCTTCATGGACTTATCTATGAAAATGAGGGTGGTGAAACTTGCCTTAGCGTATGCGAGAAAACATGAAAAGTGTATGTGATACATGTAACACAGTGCCTGACACCTAGGGAGAACACAACAAATATTTACCTTCTTCTTTCTTTTGTAGAAGTCACATTCTCAGGCTATCAATATTGACAGGACTGCATTAGTGAGTCTATATTTCATACTGCATTAGTGAGTTTATATGCTGGGCGAATCTCAATGAAATCAAATCCATTCTAATGTCTCCTTCTCTTAAGGTGCTTACCCCCTTGAAGTGGTACCAGAGCATGATAAGGCAGCCGGTATGTAGACATTTTGTTCTTTATTTCCTGAACATGTTAGGCATACATTTAAATTCCCTTATTAAGTGAACTATCATGTATAATCCCCATACAGACACTAATGGGAATTTTAGTTGGTAAAAAGTCCTATATATATACATACATATATGTATATGTACACAGTTAGAAATTCCTGCAAAGGAAAAAATGACTAAATATTCATATGCTCATAATGACAAAGAAAACACTGCTACTTCTCCAGTTGGAAGTCAACTGAGCCAATGGTAAACCTGACTCTCTGTTTCTCACCAGTATCCTTCCTATGGTTACGAACCCATGGGTGGATGGCTGCACCACCAAATCATCCCCGTGCTGTCTCAACAGCATCCCCCGAGTCACACCACCCTTCAGCCTCATCACCACATCCCAGTGGGGCCAGCTCAGCAGCCCGTGGTCCCCCAGCAACCACTGATGCCAGTTCCTGGCCACCACTCCATGACTCCAAACCAACACCACCAGCCTAACCTCCCACCAACTGCCCAGCAGCCCTTCCAGCAGCCCTTCCAGCCCCAACCCGTTCAGCCACCGCACCACCAGCCCCTCCAGCCCCTGCAGCCCCTGCAGCCCCTCCAGCCCCTCCAGCCCCAGTCCACTCTGCACCCCATGCAGCCCCTGCCCCCACAGCAAGCTCTGCCTCCAATGTTCCCCATGCAGCCCCTGTCCCCCCTTATTCCTGATCTGCCTCTGGAAGCTTGGCCAGCAACAGACAAGACCAAGCGGGAAGAAGTGGTGAGTATACCATGAAGCCGCTAAAAGGCAAATCCTGGGGAAATGGTTCAGCAGAATTGGATCCATAGTTCTAAGTTCTCAAAAAACTTAGGGCATACAGTTGCATGGCTACAGGCCCATGATTTTACTAGGTCCATGCACGTACTGTAATTTTATGTGATAAATGCATTTATCTACCTGGCTTGGTAATTGAGACCAGTTTGGATGTGTGTGGGTTTTAAATTGACACTTGTTGAATTCCTATCAAAATATATATTATAGAAACCCATTAACTTTGAGTAATAGTGAAAGAGAATGTTAGCTTTTATATTCCAAAGACTGACTAGCTAGAGTAAACTAAAACTGCAGTGAGGATTTAAGAGAGCAGTACTTTTGAGAGCAAAGGGGTACAAATATTTGAAAAACTGTAAAAGGCAAATAGGAAATCTCTTTGCACATGTAAAGGAAGATTAGCTGTTTAAACTGGTTGCCTAACTTGAAGGGAACTAAAACAGAGTGTTAGATTCTTTTGCAGTACTGAGACCTTCTAGATTAAGCTTTTAGCTAAGAAGTTCTCACAATGAAGAACTAAATCTTTTTTCATTATGGCAAACTCTTCCAAACAAGTGGGAATAGTCAAAAAAATAATCTTTATCCACATCTACAAATCCTGCATTTGAGATAGTGTGACTGCAGTAGATAAATGTTATGATGATTTTGCTACTGAGAAGCAGAAAGGAGAGATTTGCAAAGAACCTGGATGGGGAGCCAGGACACCTGGGTTCCAGTTCTGGCTTTGCCCTCAAAGAAGAGGTAGACTGTACAAATTGCTTAAAAGTTCTGGATTTCCTCACTTCTTTAAAATAAGGAAGAGATTAATTCAGCTAGTTTTAAAACTTTCACCCAACTATAGATGCTGTAGTTTCCTAGTAAAAAATTAGAATACACTTCAGATATGGCTTCAAAATTGGGAGCAACTTATAGAGAAGATGAGGTAGAATTTTAAAAAATTGATCGGGATCCAATAATGTGGTGCCTATCATTGATTATTCTAGCATGAGGCACATGTTCTCTGTTTCCATAGAAAACACATTGTTTACTCCTTTATTAGTAACTAACATCATGGACTTTCTAATGTACGCTTACCTTCCCAGTGCAATTTATGCAAAGGTGACTTTGGACAAATACTTTGAACTCCTTAAAACTCAATTTTCTCTTGTGTAAAATTAGAGTATAACTTGATAGTTTCTTTGAGATATTTTATGGAAAGTGAAATAAAGTGATGAGCTCAGAGCCTGGAAGGCAGGAAGTACTCAATGAAAGGTAACAATCATTATTTTACTATTAAATAATACACTTTGAGTATCCTGAAGGCAGGGACCTAATATCTGATGACAACGACATAAGAAAGACACTGTAGAAATTATAGAGTTCAACTCAGTGGTTGTACATTGTTTTGACAAGACTGAAGCCACATGGGTTATTGTAAACAGTACTCACCGAGAATGTTTGTAAATTATTTTAATTGTTCCTTTTGCTATTTTTTTCAGGATTAAAAATCAGGAAATGAAAGAACTGAAGTAGATATTTCAGTTGCTTTTAGGAATGACACAAGAACACAATGATTTGTGCCTGCAATCATTTTATTTAGCAAGTTCTGTAACTAAAAATAAGTATCAATAGCAGACAATAAAATGTTTTAAAAATCATTCATGTCTTTGTGTTGAATTAAACTTAATTTTTTTTGTGGTACTGAGGATTGAACCCAGGGCCTTCGCACTGAGCTACGTCCCCAGCCCTTTATTATTTTTTATTTGGAGACAGGGTCTCGCTTAGTCGCTAAGTTGCCCAAGTTGGGATCATCTTGCGATTCCCCTGCCTCAGTCTCCCAGAGTGCTGGGGTGACAGGCATGTACCACCACGCCTGGCTTAAAGTTAAATTTTCATGTCACTCTAGACAGCATATTATAAATCAGTATTCTTGAGTAAAGTAGGAATTGTTTGTTTACACATACAAATTGACCATTTGGCAGGCAAATAAGGACTGTATCTCTTTTTGGAGAATCTTTTTATTATCTCAAAACTTTTTTAAAAATGGAAGTTTATACATCAGGTATAATCGTTGATAAAGTGAAAAATGATGAACATGTACAGTCACTGATCCTGAACCAAATGAAAGAAAGTTTAGAAGAAAAATTCTTTGCATTGAAAAAGATAAGCTCTAAAGCGATGTTTATATTATAAAATAAATTAGGACTTGGCCCATTGGCTTTATGCTTCACACCACATTAGTAATCAAAATTTGGTCTTTTGATCTCATTCTACAGAAAAAATATTTAAATGAAATGATGTGATATGTATAATATACTGAATTTAAAATGACTGAAGTAATTTGTCTTCCTAAGAAAAAATTTAATAATGGAGCTTCAAATAGAAAACCACAGTGATTTTATATACAAGTCATTTCTTTCACTTCATAATCTTTAAGATGATAAATTTTACTGCATAGTCTTCAAAATGTTAACAGATGCATAAAATGGACTCAAAACAAGGCTTTTTCCCCGCTCATATTTATATTTGAATCCTTGTTTCCTCCTACACCCACACAAAATTGTAAACAGTCTTTGCAGGGTTTATATTACACAGCACCCACAGTAACTTTATTCCAGTACCTTTATGATTAAGGCCCCTTAATCATTTTCTGGAATGAATAAACATAACTTTACTGGGAGGGTGCCGATATTCAAACAAAAAGCTTGATTTTAAAGGACTTAGATTCAATAAAAAAGGTAAGAAGGCTTTTAATCAGTTGGCATGGGCCAATTTTAATCAATTGAGTAAATATTTATCAAGTGCTCTCTAGGACAAGGCATTAGCATATTTCACCACGTGCTGGTAAAAACAGTAAGTCACCATTCCAAAGGAATCTAGAATCTACCAAAGTGATCAAACAAGATCACAAGGGAGGGACAAATCATGTTTATGTTATGGTAGAAGTACAGCCTTCCCCACCAGTTCTTCCTTGTTGCCAGAGCGGGAATTACTCCCAGCATCTGGCCTTCCACGAGCTCGGGAGAGATGCTCCTCCTTCCCTGCCCGAGGTGGTGAATGTCCACACTTCCATGCCAACTATGGCATCAGTTACTAAAACTTTTTTGCCCTTGCCAGTGATTGGTTTATGCATGGGTTGTGGTGAACCCTGGACACTGAGGACAAGGGCAAGTCTCCTGGGAGAGGAAGACCTTCTAGGGAAATGTTTACCAGCTAATTAAAAAATACATAGATGCATGCTAGGAAAAAGTGCAGTTCCATTATTGAATCTATTTGGTTGAAGATGGTGCTCACAGCTGTGTCCACCATCTAGTGACCAAGAAAAGAAAGTGGAAAAATGAAAAGTCCCTAGGTTTTTGATCACTTCATTGTACCACTGAATTCACTAGTCCTGGGGCCAGCTACAGCTGTTCTGCTCTTTCAGAGAAGAGCAGGAACTGTGGAATTAAACTGTGGACTGAGTACTTTTGTAGCCTCAGTCAAATTAGCAAACTCAAGGTCTTCATGACCTTAGGTGTAAAAGTAAGGGTGGCGATACTTACGCAGGGCTTGTGAGAACACATGAGAAGTGTGTGTGAGAGATGTAGCGCAGAACTGACATACAGGAAAGACCAACTAATGTTTACCTTCTTTCTTTTGTAGAAGTCACATATTCAGGCTATCAATATTGACAGGACTACATTAGTGAGTCTATATTTCATACTGCATTAGTGAGTTTGTATGTTGGATAAAACTCAAATCAAATGCATTCTACTGTCTCTTTCTCTTAAGGTGCATACCCCTTTGAAGTGGTACCAGAATACAAGGCAGCAGGTATGTAGCTATTTTGTTCTTTATTCTCTTGCGATAGATAAAGAGATATGCACTTAAATTCCCTTATTAACTGAAATATCATATTTATTGCACATGCAGTTAGGGCTGATATTGCTGAAATTCTAGTGGAAGTTGTTGTTTCAGTGAGCAGGGAAGCCATAGGCAAAACAAAATGTATATGCAGTAGACTTTTAAAAGGTGGAAGTCCGCAGTCACTTTCATATTGAATGAGTTTTTTTATTTCAATAAATGCCTGTACTATTGCTGACCTAAAATTCAAAAATATCCCCTTTGGGCTCTCCACTAGCTATAGGGTGCATTTTTCTTTCCTATGCTAACTTATAATAAGTTTGAATTGTACCAAAGAAGTCAACTTTAACGAAGAACTCTAACCAGAAAATGCTCACAGTTCACTTACTAAAAAAGCGAAGGAAAACATCAGTTAACAAACCAATTTCCAACATATATTTTCAGAACTGTCTATCTTAATAGCATGCATTGAGGATGGAGATTCAACAAATTATGTAGAACTTATCAAAGACAGTAATAATTGAAACACTTTCCAAGTCAAAATTTAGATGTATAGGATGATAATGCAGAGGAAAATTGCAAACCAGAGATGATTTTTAACTGGAAATAGCCCTGTACACCTGCACTATCCAATATGGCAGTCCCACATGGCTATTTAAATTATCAATGGATTAATAGTAAGTACAATTTAAAATTCAGTGTATCAGTTACAGGTGACACATTTTAAGTGATCAAGAGCCACACTATATTGGTGACTATCATGGTGGACAGCATAGTTGCAGAACTTTTCCATTACCACTGAGAGTTTTGTTAGACAATTGTTCTATACACTACTTTCTGAGATAGAAGAAAACCTCCCATCAATTCAAACATTTTAAACAAAAGACAAAGCAAAACAGATTTGCTGCATAAAACTGATAATCTTAAATATCCACAACAAGTTATTTCTTAGCATGTTGGGGATCCAGATTGATCCAGATCTTACACAAAGATTTTTCTAAGAATGAGAGAAGTGTCATTCTTTTCCTCAGGCCAAATCATATACAGAAAAATGGTTTCAAATACATTAATTGACCTGCTTATATTTGAACTGCTTTAGTGCTAACGGAATTTTTTTTAAATTTCAGACTGTAAACCAGCAA